CCGCCCACCGTAGAGGGAGGAAGAAGCTACCGGGTGACGGTAGAGCCGCCGAGAAGCCGGCCGACGGCAGCCGGAGACGAAAATTGGCATGCCAAAATTGAAGCTGCTCCTTCGACAAGACGGGCTACGACCACCAGCATGAAATGCTACGTGGGATGCACAGATAAAAATGAAGCTGGTGTAGACCAGATACAATGGGACTGACGTCATCCCAGTAGCAGGGGTGGCATCGTGTATATAAGAAGGAGCAGTGAAGAGAATAATTTGAAGAAACGCAGTCACACGCGGAACTTCACATAAAGGCAGGATGAGCGAGACAGTAGATAAGGAGGAGCAGTGAAGAGAATAATTTGAAGAAACGCAGTCACACGCGGAACTTCACATAAAGGCAGGATGAGCGAGACAGTAGATGTGAGTGCGAACTGCGAATGGAGCAGCGAGGATAGTNGACAGTGGCAGCAGTACCAGCGACTATGCCGGCGGGGCCGGAGAGGAGGCGGAGGCTGCCTCCAGCCCCCGTCCGCGGACGCCGGGTCGCGACTGCTCGCCGTACCCCGACCCGGCAAGCCGCCCCTCGCCCGCCGTGATGGCATGGGCGAGTAAGGTGCTTGCCGAGGGAGGTGGCCCGGCGGGAGAGGAGGAGGCGGTCGCCGTACCGCGGCGCGGAGGGCTGGCGGCCCTCCTCGCCCCCGCCGTATACTCAGCTATCAACGGGACCGCCGTCCCCATTCCGGGAGAGACGGCCGGCGAGGAGGCCGTCGAAAAGATGGCGGCCAGCACCCCGGAGGGTGCCGCCTGCCCCTCGCCGCCCGCCGACGACCACCACGGGATGCCGCCGTCGTCGCCGCCGCAGCCCGCCGGTGAGGGGGAGATGACGGCAACCTCGGCGGCCCCAGCGAAGGCAGAAGAAGGGCGCCAGGAGCAGCGTCGGGAGCGCCGCCGAAGACAGGCGGCGCAGGATGCCGCCGCAGCAAGCGCCGCCGAAGAGGCCCGCCTGACGGAAGGGAGGCGGAGGAAGGCGTTGAAGGCGCGCTACCGCCGGGAGAGGGCCCGAGCGAGGGTGACGACCCGAGAGGCGGCGGCCGCAGCGCTGCCCTCATCAACGCCGCCGGATCCGTCACCCGCTCGTGCGCTCCCGGCCGCCGTGAGCGCGCCGCCGGCGAGAGCCTCCGCTTCCGCAATTCCGCCCGCTGTCAGGACATCGGCGGCGGGGCACGCCGATACCGCTGCCACCCGATGGGGGCCCGGCGGACGCCCGGGGCGGCACCTTTTTGAGGGTGCCGCACTCCAGGCGGGGGCCGGACCCCACGGGTCGGGGCCGCGGCCTGGATCGCCGTCGCTATGGGGGCCGCCGGTCGGATCGTCGTCGGGGCCGCCGGTCGGATCGTCGTCGGGGCCGCCGGTCGATCTCCGCCTCCCTCGCCGCCGCTCCGTGCCTGCGTCGGGGGAGCACAGTCCGTCTCACAACGACGGAGCACGGCCGGACCGCCGCGCGCTCGATGGGACGGCGATGGTCGGCCGTCGCCTGAGGCACGGTCGTCGTCCGGGTGGAGGCCGGCGCGTCGGCGGGGCCGCGCAGATACCCGACGGAAGTCACCCGAAACGACGGGTTATCTCCGTCGGGCACTCGCGCCCATTGCTCCCGCCGGTAGTCGCTCCGCTTGTTATGGGGCCGCTCCCGGAGGTGCCGCGCCAGCCGATGCTCGACCCCCGCCGGACACCGGAAGTCGCACCCGCCGATAGGGCACAGCACTACCGGCCCACGACGCGTATGCAGCTCCGCGTCATGGGCACGTGCGTGCAGCGTGGGGCGGTCGCAGGCCAGGCACCAAGCCCAGCGATGACGATCCGACCGGCGGCCCCCATAGCGACGGCGATCCGAGGCGGCGGCCCCGACGACGATCCGACCGGCGGCCCCCATAGCGACGGCGATCCAGGCGGCGGCCCCGACGACGATCCGACCGGCGGCCCCCATAGCGACGGCGATCCAGGCGACGGCCCCGACGACGATCCGACCGGCGGCTCCCCCGAGAGCCCTCGCAGCAGCAGCGACGGCGGNTCTTCTCTAGGGGATGACTTAATCATCCCCTAGCGCGACGGACGAAGCGTCGGCGCCATCGGCGAGAAAATTCCGTGGCCGGGCAAGGGGGAGAAGGCGAGGAGACTCTAAGGAGGGGAGATGAGAGGCTGACGAGTGTTCCAGCCAGAGGATTAGAGGCTGACGAGTGTTCCAGCCAGAGGATTAGAGGCTGACGAGTGTTCCAGCCAGAGGACTAGAGGCTGACGAGTGTTCCAGCCAGAGGAGCAGGGGCTGACGCGTTACCAGCCCCAAGTAGAGGTACCGCCCCAGCGGAGGAATCACGCCCTCTGCTGGCGAAGCACGTTATGTAC